GGCCGCACCAAACGTATATAAATATATTTATATATATATTCCACTCTGTTACCCGGCTCAGTGATCTCAGTTTCTTTACTCTTATATGTTAGTAAATTGTTCATTTTTTGCTTTAAAAATGATTGAATTATGTTGTTCTTATCTTCCGGTTAAGGTTTTTATGCCTTTAGTAAATCTGCAAGCAATATTTGTACAATTATCAACAATTTAAAAGCTGTTTAATTGCGGTTAAGCCTAATTTTTAAACAACATGGCGAACATGTTTGTTTATATTTGAAACCGCAGAATAGTATATTTGTTGCCATTCTAGAGAAACTAAGCTTCGCAACAACAAAGATAACGCCTTCATTTATTATTGCCAATTAAACCATGCTTAATCCTTTCTGGAATTTTTTCAAGGAAATAAGTGTTTAAGATTTACTTCGTAATTTTTAATATAGATATTTTGAGTTTTTATGTATTTTTGCCTTCTCGCGAAGTGAGAACTGAATTAATTGAATGAGAAATACTCATCGTCTGTGATATCGTCTGTGAAAAACTGTTTCTTTTTTGTTTTGTTTGCTTAATTTCTTTTAAACATCATTCTAGCTTTATTATATATTTGAATAGAACATGTGGTAACGATTAGATAATTCTATTCTTTAAATGATATAAATTTTGTGCATTATATGTTATAATATGAACGAAATATAATACTGTTAAGTGAATCTAGCGCCAGAGTGTCGCTATGGTAAACACATACTAGAGTGAATTTTAAAAATGCATTATTCTATTGGGTTTTATGCGGTGTCGGCGAAGTAGATTTAATTCAATCCAATAAGTTTAAATGAAGTGCAAGAAAAAAATTCGTATAATTTAAAATTCCGTACAAGGAAGTCATGTGGTGTACACATCAGATTTTTTTTTTAAGCAAGAGTACATGAAAAATGAGCACTGCTCTCGCCAGTACTGGACCTCTTAAATACGTGCTGAATGTGGTACCGTTACGCTATAAAGGAATGCTGGAAAGAAGGAGAAATTACCAGGCTTTAAATTCTTTGCTTTACTGTGGAAAATTTTGTATAAGTACTGTACCATAACTAATTTTAATTTGTGGAAGTATTGCATAAACTCACATCCTATTTACAAAATTACACTCTGTACCCATTACACATTTCTACTAATTTTTTCCAATTCAAAATCGTTACATCTATGTGGAAAAATATATTTGAATTCTCAAAGCGAGCTTCTCATATCAAAGTAAATGGGGAATATTTGAAAAACAGTTTACGTAAATGAGGCATATCTGACATAAATTGGACACATTTGAAACAGTTTAGTGTATATGGAGAAAGTGAAACTTTGGTAGTAAAATAATAGCCAAGAATTCTTTCAATATCTTTAATGCATAAATTCGGATTTGATACGTTAACAGTTTCAAATTTTTGGGGATTAAATTGCTGTAGCAGTTGGATCTGTTAAAAAGCGATTTTTTATGAACATGATTTCACTATCTGGTAATCTCTTGATCATTTTGGAAATTACCTGAAACTTCCATAGTAAAGGGTGTCCCAATAAACCAGCCGGGTTCAATATGTCTAATGAAATACTTTGTTTTCAGAAAATAGGAAATACTTTTGCATACTTACAAGAGTTAAATATTCCGATTTAAGAATGAAATATAATGTAAGGCGTATATCTTCCACAATATGTTTTATAGCATAGTACTTTTTCTATGAAATTCGTGAGTTTCTCATATCTGCCTTTTGAGGTGACTATTGACACGTTCAATTGCCTCTTTAAATTCTTTCATTTTTAGTTTTTACGTTACGAGGCTTTGGAGTTACAATAACATTGCCATGCACAATAGTGATGTTTTCTTCAAATCGGTTGGATCGAGAACATGGTGATTTAATGTCTGCTGTCGAACCAGTCTCATCAGACTTCTTTACCAATAAGCGATTTTGTATTCCATTAGGTGCTTTTGCTTATTGAAAAGTTGCACGAAGCTTCCTAAAAGTCTGCGCATAACACTCATTATTCTTTAATGAGATTTCACAATCAAAACTCGTTGTTCATTTGTGTACCGCTATGTGAAGAATACTTGGAGAAAAGAATCTGAGTGCTTTTATCGCTTTTCATATAGGTAGTCTATTGCATCTGTTAAGATTAACAGAAGCTCTGTCACGTTTTATTCTATCTGGAAAAAATTGTGAATTGGTTAACATCGGGCCAGTTGCATTATTACTGTTTTTTGCCCACTTTCTACTACCAGTAAATATTTATTTATTTATTTGTCAAATGCCAGGTTACATTGGCCACTAGGCCATTAAATTCCTTGCTTGCCAATAGCGCAGAAATCTACAAGAAAAATTTGTCAGTACTTCACACTCGTCCAAATGTTCCGACGTCATTGGCCGTCCACAATTACATAAGCTACCAGTAAATATGTTAGACATTATATTTATTGATTCTATTGTATATGCAGGTATTCAGCGGTATTAGCAACGAATCTTCCTATTACATATATCGGTATCTGAATAAATATCCAAATATTTTCATCCTAATTTCTAATCTGTTTCGGTTTAAAACTCCGATTTTTGTAGATTTTCTTCTTCTGTGGTGGCATATAAGAGTTCTCGTCTATGCTACCAAAGCAGACATAAAGTGACTTATCGCTACGTCTTTGAAATTACGAAAGAGAAAGTATGAAAGGTGTAAATGAACCTTTTATTTTCCTCAAATAAAAGTTAACAGAAACACGACTTGTGCTTACAGAACGACCAGCATTTATGGCTTAAACGAAAAAATAACGAAACGAAACTAAAACGAAAAATTTGATAACTTATCAAATACCTTTTGCATAAATTACGTTCCGTTTAAGAAAATGTCAAAGAAATTCATTTTCTATTATTCACACATAAATTGAAAGCTTCCAGTAAACAGCTTCAAGAAAGGCTTTCTTCTTTCAAGATCCCTTTAAGATTCGGAATGTTTAGAAGAGGATTTAATATAAATTCTCAAAAGAGTTATTTTCTTTCGTTCTGAAATTCTTAGTTTTGTAGATATATGTTTAAATAATTCTAAGCGTTAATAAATACAAGCGTTAACACTATAAAATATCTGATTTTTATTCGAAACCTAAATTATGCAAAACTATCAGAATAAAACATCTGTTATAAATATTTTAAAACGTCCATTAACATTTTAATTGCGCTAGGTTTAATTTTCAGCATTATAAAGGCAGTTTACCTTCAAATTCAAATATTAGATCTGAAAGCAATTTGTAACCTGTACTGCATTTTTCCCAATTTCAACGGAGTGTCAGATAGTATAGCACCTAAACTCGCATTTGCAAATGTTAACACGCGCTCATCTGCGCAACGAAAGAGAATACAGTTCACATTACCTCACAAAAGGGGTGTTTTCTTCTGACAAAATCCGAAACTAAAAGCAAGGATTGCTATATAATCATGCTTTTATCAAGGAATAAAAAATAATTTGGTTACAAATCAATTGAGTGACAAATACAATACACATTAAAAAAGTCAAAATTGGCATCTGGGACAAAAAATACCAAACAATTTACGAAATAAAATATTACATTTTGCCCGAACATCTTGACTCTACGTATTATTTTTATCTTTGACTCCGTAAATTTCTTGTAGGACTATTAGAATTGCACAGAAATTCTGCTGTTCTAAGATATATGCGTATTAAAGTAACTAGTCTTCACTAAGTATCAACATTCTCTTTGCAAATGACGATAGATTCACCGCATAGAACCACCAACACGGCTATTGACTATTGCATTAATAACCTAGTTATCCTAAAAAAATATCAAAATACGTTTAAGAATTCCAGATTTTAATGACTCGCATTGCCGTTAAAAACAGTACTGTTAGACTAAACTGGAAGATAAATGAAAAAGGAAATTATGCATTTATTCGTACAATAGGGAATGATATTTTCACAGTCTTAAAACATAATTTTCACATGCTAATATTGAAATAAAAATACCAATTTTAGAAACTAAATAAAATGCTGATTTACTTCAAAAAATTACTTTGGGCAAATTCACCTTTATATGATCGCTTTTGCCAATGTTTGCAAGAATAGAAATTGACATGAGTAATAACGTGCAGCGTGTTATATACTTGAATAAACCACACTTTTCAGGAACGTACAAAAGTGTTAATTTGACCCAGAGAGTGCAAGGATACAAAGCGTGCCCGAATAATTTTATTACGCTGCATGTAATAATATCTCAAATCGTATTTCAGTTAGTATACCGACTATATGAAAACATTAAATCGTGTCATCTTTCAACAGAAAACTGTATCGTCACCCTTTACAAGAGTTGCGGCAGATTTTTTAAACAGATATCCTCTAAGACGGGTAAACGTGATGAAAATAGAGCAATTATTTGACTTCCGTATAACTGGATCTTATTCAAATGGATTTTTTCTTTTGAGGTCATTTGAAACACTATTTTGCAATGAAAATATACAGAACCATATTTGTCTCAAAGGAAGTATCGCTGCAGCAGTTACTAAGGTCAGTAGATAAAATTATTCACTTCCCAACGTTCGAATTTAGTGGCGTCACTTGACTTACAGAATTACGAGAAACGAAAACACAATTATATTTTATTCCTCAAAGGAGTAGCTACTTTGGGTCAGAAAATGAGTGAATTATGTCATATAGAAAATATCTAGTTGGAAAAAACAAACCTTGTAGTATTTACAAGCATCAACTTTCGGAGTTCATACTCGAGGTTGGATTGAAGGAAATACTGTATAGACTGTAAATCTGCACAGTACTGCAAATGGCTCAAATGCAAGACACATTCGGAAAAATTTTAGAATCTCTATCATCTATTAAATGAGTTTGTTGATCAGTGTCTGTTTACCACATAAAAAAAATACCCCAAATCTTCCATCATTTTTTGGACAACCTGTACTTAATAAGCATTGTGAGCTTTTATAAGCATAATTTGAGCTTTTAGGTATTTTACTTACTGTCTCTTCTTTCCTGGCGTCTGCGTTTAAGTTCTTCCAAACGTGCTTCAGAACTTTCCGCATATTTATAGACGCGTACATGTCGACTTCTTAATCCTCGCAGCCAATCATTTAATAGTTTCAGATCGCGTTTCTGCACCTAAAATAAAACAAAGAATAGTTGGTCTTTCTGATTAAGACGCCATGCAATGACGAGGAATATAACTGTTTATATCTCATATATTCTTGCTATTGTTTGTCCTTCATGCGTATGATTCGCACTTCGAATACTGTGTTTAAGATATACACGGATGTAAGACAAAACTTTTGCACATGGCATTATACATAGTCGATTTGGCAAGATTTAATCAAGGTCAGTAGGCAACAAGGCTGTACTCTTTCAAGGTCAAAAGTTTTCATTTCTGATGTTCAAGGTTGTGACGTATCTTACGTATCTGTAGCGACTTACGAAACAAGGACGTCGACATCACCACGTTGGTTTAACTTGCCCGCGAAGAGTATTCTTTGCAGTATAATAGCCTTACACTAAACTACTGACTACAGAGTGAAATGGACTTTTGAGAGCTACGAGCGATTAGAATTGGTGAGCGTTTATCACACATAATAAAACTACAGACATATTATAATTAATTTTAGTAATTGAATTAAATAAAACCACTTTCGCTCCACTTAATAAAAATTTCACCGCGACCTCATTAAAGTAACCCCTCATTTCGAAGACCTTCTCTTAATCGCTCAGTATCTCTTCTTTTACATATCTTCTTATACTGTATTGATTGATAAAGTTAATCTGATTACTGTTTTTAGAGATATCGATAATTAGCAATACCTTTAACATTAGATGAGCTATTCCGAAGTGTTGCCTCTAATTTACTTTTTTTTTTGGTGGATATAATGTGAAAGAATAAACATAGTTTTATTCCCGATTTTTAGTTTGATTTAAAGAATTATATTTCCCGAGAGATGCTAGAAAATTCTTCCAATATTATTCCTGTAAGCTGCATCTCATTATGCTGGAAAACTCTAAGATCAACGAAAGCTGCAAACTTCTTTAGCTCAGAAATAAGACATCTTTCTGATGAGCTAATTCTATAGTAATTAAATAAATGTGTTGAAATGAACGAATGTGCAGTTTAACATGTTGGTTTTGTATATCTGTAATGTAAGCATGAACGATTTTTGAGAAATGCATAGCAAAGTAAACAAAACGCCTTAGGTGTTTTGCATGATAGCTAGTTCAAGTTCATTCTTCTGAATAAACAAACACAACGGACAAGTCAATGCAATCCATTTTTTCCCTTCAATGCGCTTACAATTACCGTATTTCTTTGCGTAATTTTCCTCTTTCTTAACCATTGTTATCACCTAAAATATGAGACGGTTAAATTATGAGAGTTATTTAATTTCTGATGAAAGCAGTTACAGTAAGAACATTATAAAATAAAAGCAGTCATGGATAAACTATTGATAATTTGACCCTATGTAATGACTTCTAAACTAAGATGTCAAAAGAAAACAAACAGAATATGTCATCTCAAGGGAAAACACTACTACCTGGCAAGACACTACCACCTGATAGAAAGTTAGTACTTATAATGTCGATTATCAGCATGATTCACTACGCTGACAGAATGACGATGGAAATTCGTTCATTACCTTTGTGATGCTACTTTTTTCAAAAGTGAATAATGGCTGCTTATATTGAAAGACAGTAACTTTGAAACTGAAAATAGTCACTCTGAGTTAAGGAAGTCTGTTAATCATACACAAGTTTTTAAGTTTTATTATTAAACATAATTTGAAAATGCACTATATCTGTTCCACTTGACAAGCAGTTTTACTTTAGAGCAATATTATTAACTCAAAGCCAATGCATGGATTTACTATTCAATGTCATTGTCTTTTTCACATTGTCTTTTTCATTAGATACGCAAATTGAATTTTGTACTTAAGTACAGCAAATATACATTTGTGTTCATGGGATTATTGATACTGAAACTTTAATACGTTAACGTTGTGATACAGTTAGTATTGAAGCACTACAAGATGACATGATTTACTTAAGTTTATTTAATCCGATTTTACTATGCAAGAGACGCTTGAACCAGTAAGGCCAGTTCTGCTGAGATAGTTGATTTATGTAACTTTCTTTAAAAATTGAGCAATGAAAACGTAAAATTCTAGATCGCCAAAACTGCCACATTAACAAAGGTTGGTTTGGCTTAGGACAAATCTATAGAAATATGTCATTTCCTGTTAAAAACCAAGATTTGAAGAAACATTTGGTTGAAAAGTAAGGTGCGACGACTTGCAGTTTCCAAATTCCAGCATTCCTGCCAGCGCTTTAAGATCAAGTCCCAAGTTCGTTTTTTCAGTGATAAAGGTGGTAGAGGCTACATGCATTTCTTGCATCGTAGCTGCTTCCTTTGCTTTGGTATCAGCAATCTCATTAGCAAGAATTCCTCTATGTGCATAATATATAGTTTAATGTAATTTAATTCATATATAATATGATATAATTTAATTCATATTGAATATAAAAAGAAAAATCAGTCACCGGAGCTTTTGATTTATGGCATCAGAATTATAATGTTTTAGGTGCCTGTTCAGATGAACCCTCCTCTGCCACATCATCCTCATAAATACTGTCAAAGAATGTGCTATGTAACCAAAGTATAAACTGTTTCTGGAATTGAACAAGTTCGGAAAACTCTGCCAGTAGCTATTTTGAAGACTATACCAAATTTTTCAGTTATTTGTGACACTAAGACTGCGTTGATAATCGGTTTGCTTTAATGAAAGCTTTTTTGAATTCTGCTTATTCGTTTTTATGGTTTTCGAAATAAGATTTTCTTAAGCCTGAATTTTGTTTACGTTACGGGCGGTGTCTAATTGCTCTTAATTTGCGTCTTTGCAGTTGAAGATTATTATTCCATCAAAATATCTTACGAGCATGCTTTATTTCCTTTAATTTATAGCTCTTTAGACACGCCCTAATTAGGATATTAATTAAGTTTGAATAGGAAAAGTCCAGTTTCTTTCTACTCTGATAACCTTCCAGGTTATGTCCAGCACTGTCCAACTCTAGCGTGTCCCCCTCACATAATTTAAGAACTTTTTGCGGTTTATATGGTCTATTTTGAAATGATGTTTTGCCAAAAAGAAGAATATAGTTTTGTTAAAAGTAATAATACGATGATCACTTGTCAGATCTTCACGATCATGGGAAGTCTTGAAAATGACAAGCTGAAGCACTGTTATAAAAAGCAAGATCTATCAACCTTTGGGCACCTGAAGTTAAAACGTTTGGTGAACCACTGCAATAGTGTGACGAAGAAAACGATCATGTGGAAAGAAAATGAAGGTCATTTATCATAGCATCCATGACCTGACTGTGTGGAAAATAGATTGATGTGAATGAAAAGGAATCTCTCTTAATATTAAGATGAACTGTGACTATGTTACAGAGAAACCCACCATAGAAAGTATCCATTTGAAACTATAATTGCTAATTTTGAAAGTGAGTATAATGCTTAGTATCTATTTGGTATACCAGGAAGAAGACCATTAGGCATATAGGGTTCCTGGAAGAATACTATGCCTACAGAAGTTTCATAAAGCGTTTGAAAGATTAGAGTAGTCGCATGTCTAGATTTTTATGATTATTTTCCAGAATAGTAAGTACATTTTTCTGTACACTTATACACTTTTCTGGAGCGCTACCCTTGGGCAAGCATTGGCAATGATAACAACGAATAATGCGAATGTAGCGTCTGAAGTGACACCTGATAAAACTGATATGGAAATTTCCCTCGTTACCAAAAGCCTCCGCTTAAGTGAAATCTTCAACAATCCAATTGTTTCTGCCGTCAGTACGGGGCTGATAAGCAAGGGGATGTACCGTAATCAGGTGTAATCTGTTGGGTCCAAATAATTCAAAGCCTGCACAATATCCAAGATCTCAAGTTTGGATGTAATCCCGAATACTCTAAATTTTACTTTAATGGACGACGTTCTGTCAGTTGCAGACCTTTACTTTATTATTAATTGCTTTTTCCAATGCGGCCAAATGCTATCGTATTGCGTCAGCGAATCAGTAAACTATTATTAGAACAGGTAGGACTAATTTAATCTATGCGAAAAGTCAAGTGTTCACTGCTGAGTTTTCGTGCCAACTGTGACTGTATACTGTTTGGTGATTGACTGGAATTCTTTGCCGTACTCAAAAGAACGTTATCTGAGTGTTTTCGTTTTTAAAAAAATTGTTACGTTTCTTTTAACAACTAACCACAGTGAATGGAATATAATGCTCTGTTGAAGTGCTGAGAAGGGAGAATTTATGGAATGCTTTAGTGCCAATCAGTTGTAGAGTCATCAGGTTCTTTTGAAGCAGTAGATATGAAAATTGTGCAACGCCCTCGCCGGGACTCGAACCTAGAATTCTCGAATACGTGCCGAGTAAACTACCGTTACACCACGAAGGCATGTTGGAAGAAGGGAGAAAATATATCTTATACAGTGACTGTTCTGATGTTGGCTGAGCCAAGAATTCCATCTTGTCAGTCCGATATTTTAATTCTGCGTATGAGCCACTCAAGGAAACAATCATGCCCTCCTGTTCATTCACAAGGAATCGAACATTGGCCAACTTCTTTATAGCTTTTACAAACGCTTTTCATTAATTTTATGTGAGAGACGTAAGCCTTGAAGATAATCGTATAATGACTCAGTTATCCTCGAGCCAGTATCCTGTAATACAGTACTCGAATCTGCGTTCTTCACTTCAGCTGATGTTATGGAATAAGCTGAATTTGCCCACGATAAAGCAGGAGATGAAGTACGAGACATTTTACTGCGGTTATTGTGACATTTAACAACCGAATAAATTTAAACAGTCAAAGGGTAATAATAAAATCACTTATTAGAAACTCAGATTATAGCATACATTACTTTAGTTCTGTCATTTAATATTATCATCAAATAAAGGAGCCTTTATACCTCAGGAACCATAATAAACTGAAAACAATAACTATAGAAAGTTAAATGGTTTAACACTGAAATATAGGAATTTAATAAGTTGGGGAAGTTGTTTTTCTCGCAAGCAGTATACCCAAGCTGCAAAAATGGTATTACAGACAA